TGAAGTTACAAAATCGCATTACAATAACGTCTCAGGCGAAAAAGCAGCAAAAAAACTAAAGCTAAAAAAAGCAACTTATCCGATGTGGCGTTCTCACATATTCCATTGTATAGATATCTTGAATTGTTTTAGACGCTCCCCAAAAATAGCGGACGACATTCTCGCTCGAGAAAAAGAACGAAAGCACGCCGATCATCGACACACCACACGGTGATGTGGCGGCTTTTCCGCCGCCAACAACAACGGTGGCAACGTTAGCAACCGGATTGCCTGTTTCAACATCGAAGTCGGGAAGAGCATTGCAAAAATTCGCTCTTCTTAGGATCAGCGTGGATAGTGCGTCAAATATCATCGTCGTCGCCGCCGCAACCGGTGACGCCACAGCGTTATTCTACCTGGTACCAACGACTACCTGGATCGGTACGAGTGCGTTTCGCGCTCTTCTTGCCAACGCCGCGACCAGAATACTAGTGTGGAGACCGTTGCCAAAACCACTCAAGTTACTGCCGTCAGGAGTATCTAGGGCCGATACTGCCGAGCGGCTCACGTCTCGATTCGGATCGGTACTGCGGTCGGTGCCAATATCACACTACTTCAGTTGCAAGATGCATTCAGCAAGAAACTGCTCCGTACAGAAACTTCGATGAGCGGTCGCTCGCGATGTTTTGATTTCAACGGGACCGAGGACGTGACGATGATCCGAACGAATCCAGGACCCAACCCCAGACTCCCCCGACTGCGGAAGATTATTCTCATGCGGATTCGGGAAGCTCGGCGACCGGCACCGCAACGCGACAAGAAGAAAATCGTCGGTACCGCTTGCTGGATCCGTTAGCCTGGAAAGCGAAACACATGTCGAAGATTGCTGCCGTCTTTTTTGGCTGTAGTTCGTCGTCTCTTTTTTTCCCCCCGCGCCACCGTCGACGTTCTGTTCGTGTGTGAAGATAAGGTCAGTTCCGAATGAAAGGCACGCTCATGAATTCAAAGTGAGAGTGCTCCTCGTCGTCGTCCGTCGCTGTTGTAGAAGTACTATGTAGGTAGTTGTAGCACCATTCCATGGGCCGACTTTCGGTCGATCGCGCTTGCGTCGGTTTTCTTCTACTATCACACCGTCCGTCACTCTGTCCATCGCTCTATTCTTCGCGCGATGTGGTCGATTGGGAGAGACCGACACTTGTCGGTATCCGACATATGGTACAGGTCAACTCCAGACATTTCTCTAATTTCTCTTTCAGGCCATAGATAGTGTTCACTGATCCACGCTGACCGCGAAGCGATATGGTGTCGATATTTGTCATGAGCGACACTGATGATTAGTCGAAGGCGATCCATGTGGCTATTTTCTTTCGCCACGACTCAATGAATTCTCGGCTTGACAGTGCTTAAACTCGATCGGACAGAGGCCTCTGGTCCCGATGCACAAGTTCTTCTTCGCGGGCGTTCGTTGAAACATAGGGAGCGTACTCGGTGATGGCCATTGGACGAATTGGTCGAGACAGCCGTCTCGGATACACATCGAGAGGACTCTAGCTATTTATATAAATGTGGGTAAATGTGCCTGGGCTGGGACGACGCGTCGTCTGATGCCTGTCTGCTGCTCAGTCAGTCAAATAGCCGACCGACCCGGCGACCGGCTAGCCAAGAAACTTGTTCGTATGAGGGGAGGCCCTCCTGAATGGACTGTGGAGTATGTGCTGGATTATTTTTAGACGATGGAACGAGATCGCTGATTAGGCCCAAAACAGCGTCATGCGATAGACACAACTTGAGGAGCACGGTTTCTCGCTTTTTTATCTACTGGATCATCTGGCTGAGTTAGTTATGCGTTGCGGGCGGATTTCCTAATTGCCTCTCGCTCTTTTGGCCCCGCCGCGTCTCTGCCCCTAGTCAGGCCGACCCCGGTGAGCTGGGGGCGAAGTCTGGCGCGACTCGCTCATGGGCGAATCACCGACCATGCAGACTGCGTGTTGCATCGCCCGGAAATTTTCGAGCGGGCGAAACTCACGCGAAAACTCTCCGCCTGCGGGTGCGACCTCTGAGAAGGCACAGAGCCACGCAATAAAAACGATTAGAGCTCGCCGCCATATCTCGAAGCGGGGAACATCACATACTCAAAACGTAGGGCAATTAGTCTACACTCAGTCAGTTTCCTTCGCTCCAGAGAAGAGCGTCGGGTATCTTGTTGTTCTGCGCGAAATGTGGAACGCGCGAACGGGATCCGACTCTGATGTTCTGATCGAAATCGAAGTAGGGTCAAAGTACCAGTTTCGGAACATCAAAGGAAGTTCCCATAGACCCCCAGCTTATTTGGGGAAAGGGGTACCAGCGATGGGGCACTCCATGGAAGTCTATGGGGAGCTCCGTGACCGGGTCTCGGAGCCCCATGTTAAAAGTATAGTTCCATAACTGGTAATTCTACCCTACTAGGGATCATTCAAACTGTCAGCTTGAATATGAACGAGTATGACTCATATCTCACGTGTCTTGCGGGTGTAATTTGGGAATGGGATAATTATTCGTCGAAACGTACGCAAGCGTTCCAGAATGATCGGTCGGAGCTCGCCACTCACGAAACGCCGGTGAATGACGGGACCCTTTCCTGTCCTGCTGATACTCATTGTCCTTAAGTTTCCCTCCTCAGAGAGAAGCAGAAGAGACTTCATTTATTTAAGAAGAATGAGGAATGAGCCTCAATTTGCTCGATCCTTAGCCATTGAAGCAAAATTTTCGAATAAACTAAGCAGCTCTGTCGGATGCCGCAGTCTCTGCAGCGAACAGACGGAGGCCGAAACTCATAAAAGCCAGCCGCTTATAGAAGGATCTTAAAAGCTGCGTGGGATCCGATGAGACGATGATAAGAAGCAGATATTGCTTTACTGTGTTATATTCATCATCAATGTAGTGTAACTATACAGAGCTATGATATTAAGCAAGCAAGACTATAACGTCTCACTGTGATGGGATGAAGCGACGGGCGGCGTCGCTCGTCATGCCCGTCGGACTGTGAGCTGCGACGAGTTATGGTAGTCGAGAACCAGAATATGGGCGAAATCAGCGAGATCTGGAATCGAGTCTTCCTGCATCAAAGTTGATGATGACATCTTATCACAAGATACTGTCCCGGGAAACCTTGCGGCAGTTGCCCCTATTGTGAAATACACATATTTGTCTCTAGATTCGAAAAGTCTAATCGGCCACTAATTGGTGCGGCGGAGCCGCTCCAGAGACGATTACAAGGATGCGCCATCCGAGAACAAATAAAATTTGCATACTAGTAAAATTCAGTTGAACGCTCCGATTGTTTCGAAACTTGGCAGTTGCTTCTGTACCCACTGAAATAAAGCCTCAGATCGACGGTTTGATGAGTTTGAAGCGGGAGCACTGCTCACTCAGCGAGTGAGACTGTCACAGTCGAACTGTTTCCAGAGCGATCAGGATAGAGAATGATTTTCATCTTATCCTCGCCGCCGATGACCTCAGCTAGGTGAATCCCTTGAAGAGGCGACCGGAGCTGTGACTAATTCATCAATCGTTTTGGCAATGCAAAACGCCAAGCTTAAAAATAATGCTTCAGCGTGTCTCTTACGACACACTGTCGCATCGGCGTCGATCCGGTCGCATCCGAGTTACGGTTGCTCAAGATGTACACGGTGCTTTGCTGTCACGCTCGATTAATTCTCCGTCGTCGCGTGCTTCGAGCGAGGGTAAACGGTGGTCGATTCTGCTTATTTAGAATTGTTCTAGAAATAATTAGCCAGGGCCGAAGGATGTCGTCAGATGACCTGAGCTTAGTTTTTCCTGCCATGCTCGACCTACGCGGAAATCCACTCGGTGGGCATCCGACTGCTGCTGGTGACTGACTGCCGTGCCGATGGGCATCCGAAGCTAGCTGACCCGAAGATCCGATTAGTCAATGGAATTTTCGCCGGGCAATATGAAGAGATGGTCCAAATAAATCTTTCTAATGCCGCAATTATCGATATTGAGCCTCAACGTGATGCCGTAATGGCTCACCCCACCACCCAGATCCGCCACGTGATCGGCATTCTTGCGTTTTTCCGCTCTCGTTTTCCCGTCGCTGCCTCCGGGGAGATTACACGGTCCCGCGCCCTGGATCGAATCGTTTCGGATTTCTGCGAACGCGAACTCCGTCTCGTTCAGATCTTCGAATTCAACGCTCTCGTATTTTGGAGTGAATCACTAGAGGCGATTCGTCTCCCAACATTTTTCGAGGGGAAAGAACTGTGGCTGATTCGTCATGTCAAACTGCATCGACAAAGATTCAATGTTCACGATCTCCCGCTACTGTATGGTCGCGAGGGGGACCTAGGCCCGTACGATCCTCTGAGCGAGTTTCGGAGAGAGCGCGTTTCCCACCATATGATCACGAACGGATGTCGTCAGAAGTTTGAGTCTCTCGCCACAGATGGCGCGTCTCGTCCAAGCGCTGCGTAGACGGGTGCTTTGACGCTAGACGGCGCGCTTGGCGGCCGTTTCACTTTCCAGTGGCAAAGGCACACGTGCTTTTACTGCGGGCCCGCGCTGGATGCGATGTCTTTCTCTACCAACTGTCGGCGGGTCGCACTCTTGGTCAAGGATTGACCAGGCTAACCTCTACACTTTATTTATTTAAGTACCTAAAAGGGTACTTGTCGAGAATCGGTGGGAAACGTCGCTCGGATCGATCCTCCACCGACGATCAAAGCAGGCTCGCTAACGGCGCTGTCGAAAAGGTGAAAATTCTCTACTACGTCAACAACAAGGAAAAAAACGTGATTTTTCTCGTCTCGAGTGAGTTCTGTGCCCCCGGAGGATTTACCAATTGTGCCTCGAACCAGTGGATAACCAGTGGATGTGCGCTACGGAGTGGATCCTTACAGAACTAGTCAGCTGAGCGTCGTATCGAATCATCTGCTTGTTTCGGAATTGTGTTCGTTTGTTTCCTTCCTTCATCTGGAGATCACAAGTAACCCCTGTTGAAGCTCTGAAATTTGGAAATCATGACTGTGCAACGATATCTCCAAATTCAACAAGGCCAACAAAATGGCATCAGCAATTCGTCGAACGGCCAGCAGCAATCTTCGCATCGGAAACTCGACAGGTCGCTGTCGGAGCCCAAGAGCCCCAAGGGTCAGAGCCAGAGCACGAATTCGTCAAGATACAAGACCGAATTGTGCCGTCCCTTCGAGGAGAGCGGCGTTTGCAAATACGGCGACAAATGCCAATTCGCTCACGGCTTCCAGGAGCTGCGAACTCTGACGCGCCATCCGAAATACAAGACGGAGTTGTGCTGCACTTTCCACACGACGGGCCTGTGCCCCTACGGATCCCGTTGTCATTTTATTCACAATCCGGAGGAGAATCGTGCTAAGATCATGCCGTCGTTACCGATACCGCAACCGATGAACCATCACAATCATCACCACCACAACCACCATCAGCAGCAGCCACCCCCGCATCACAACCATCATCATACTCATCAACAACAACATCAGCAGCAGCATCAACAACAACAGCAGCTGCAGCAACAACAACAGCACCACCACCATCATCATTCACAACAGCATCAAGTGAAAGTGATGCATGGCTTGTGCCATCCGAACGGTGGTGGACATCAAAACACTCTGAGATCGCTCTCGATCGGCAGCAGCGCATCTGTCGGATCGTCATCGTCCACCGGGGAACTTTCTCCATCGTCGTCTCCCGGCATGTTCGACGACCCGTTCGCTCCCGGTGGTTTCTACGGTGCTGCCGTCGCTGCCGTCACGTCGAACACTTCGACTCAATCGGCTTCCCGCAGCGGCGGCGTAGTTGCGGCCGCTGCCGCCGCTGCTGGAGTCGCGCTCCCGCATGCGTTTTCGGCTTTCGGGTCCGATTTCGAAATGACAGCGCTCGCCGCAGCCTTCAGCGCCGCCGAGAACAAACATCGAGGTCTGAATTTGAAGAGCGTCGCGTCCGCGCCCGTCACGCCTCCTTTTGGATCTCAGCTTAACCTACTGAGTGTTTCGTCGACGTCGTCGAGCTCTTCGTGTGGACCGTGGGGATCTCCGACTTCCTCTTGTTCCTCGTCATCGTCAGCATCTTCGTCGTCGTCGTCCACTTCGTCCTCGCAAGACATGTTCCAATTTCCCGCGGGCGAACTTCACTGCAGCCAAGTTCAGAACAACCCTGGTCAGCTGTACGCTGACTCGGCTGCGACCCAGTCTAGTCCCGTGGACTCGCTCTCGTTTGAACTCGGAGCCATCGCTCTGGGCACTCCGCGCACCAGAGCTAACGCCAATTCGCCGACTCAAACCCGTCTTCCAATTTTCAACCAGCTCGCCCACTCCGACTGAATTACCTCAGTGATTTAAACCGAGCGTAATGATTGAGACGGCAGTAGGACCAGAGTCGGTACGGCATCCCCTCGACCGAAGAGCCGCTCCAAATCCAGACTTATTCGGTTCGATTTATTTTCCTCTTAAATTTTCCTTTTCGTCCTGATTTGCGCATCACCCCCTCCCGATACGCGTTCTTCAGTTCTCTCAACGCCACAGGCGATGCGAATCCTGTTCTTATTCTTGAAATCGTTTAGAAGATCCTTATCTCGATATTTCGAGCTGCGACTCAAGCTCATCGATCGCAGCCGCCGTTTTTTTGTTTTTATCGAAATCCACAAACCAGTGGTCGAGTTATCGGTACGTTGCATATACGGTGGCGTACCAGACCGAGACCGCTATCGACCAAACGTATACGCCGACTTTAGTTTGCGTGCTCCACCGCGGATCCCTGGACCCTTCGGGGGTCTAGGTCGTCGGCGAGGGGTCCGCGTCAGTTAAGGATTGGAAGACGGGGTTCAGGCGACGCGGTGCGTCAAGGAAGAGTCTAGGAGTGAGTGTTTCAGTCAACGTGAGAATTACGCTTGCGGCGAGCGAATTCACTATAGGATGGTGGTCTCATTAGCGGGCAGTTCATCAGCACCCGCCTCGCAGGCCGAGCCCTCGAGAAGGGTGACGGCGTTCATCTGTTGGAAGCCTCGGAGAACAGTAACTCTGGCGGGACTGCAAAACGCACAGCCCACGGAATATCAGTGAGTGGAAAGGTGGCAACTAGCCCCATTGCCGGATGGTTTTTACTGCTCGAACACCTGCAAGCGAGAAGAGAGCCAGTCGAAATCGGAAAAGCAAGTGATTTCAACATCATCGAGGGGACGTAGAGTCTCCGATTGTCCAATGAGTATATTTTTCTAAGTTATTCAAGTTTCGCCCATCAGCAAACAACCTCTTATTAATTATCATTACTTATTAACACCATTGTGGAAATACTAGATATGGCTAAATTATCGAGCAGACAACCGAAACAACAAACAAACGAAGCAGTTCTTTGTACCAATAGTGTGTATTGAAAGATTGTAAAGTGTATAGAAATTTGACGAAGGACCTCTCTCTACCTTAGCACTGAGCTTCCGGAGGTTTTCGCTGGTGTTTCTGCAGTCTATATACGTCGAGTCCAGAACGGAATTCGTGCGAACTCCTATGACCAGCGGAATCGTCCTCAGGTTCGCGTTATTGCTGGTCAGTATGACGTTCCACTGTAGAAAGCTAAAAAAGCAAAAAAAACGTGATGACAACCATGGACGATCCGCGGAGGTGACTGAAGCTTCCCTTCGCGACTGCGGGTCGATTGCAGCTGCGAGAAACCTCCGCGAGATCGACCGCATGAAAATTATTTTTGGTACCTAGACTTGACGGATGAATGCGTGGCAGAGAAGAACCGGTCATATCTCGTCCTTTTGATGCTCGGTCTCGGGTTTGGCCTTCTAGTCCCGGTCCTCTGAGCATTCGCTTGCTCATGTCCGTGCTGACGATATTTTGACGTTTCGCGACTTCTGCTCGAGTATTGACTCAAGTTGCAAAACTCAGGTGTCCGACGACTCGTTTCTCACGAATACTGTACTCACAGGCTCAGTAGTTGATTATTCCAGAATGACATATTATAATAATTATTATATTATTGATGATCGTGACCTACCAAGGTCCGCATGTTCTCAGCCAGCTTTCACCTGTAGACCGAGCATTGACCGATGACAAGCTTAGCTTTCGGGAAAATCGCCCCATCCGCTCTGCTCTTCCCTTCTGACGAGCTCTGGTGTTCAGCACCATTAACTAATGGATTCCTCTAAAATACTGGAGGACGTTCAACTTGAAAGATTCCAAATGAGCCTCTCGTGGTTCCTCCGGCTACTTAAGAGTACTAAAACTATCCGCTCTTCCTGTGTGGTTTCCGATACTCTCTCCCTTTTTCCTTCTGGTCGCTTTCAATATCTTGTTCTCTCTCGCTTTCTACCGATGCATCCTGGTTCTCGGTGCTCTTATACCCGCTCCAGGATACACCTCCCTCATTTTATCTTTTCTCCTACTCTTTTATTCGATCACTCGGAAATCCGAGTTTTCCTCTTAGATGGTTCTTCTCGCTGAAGATTCACGAGAAGAACATCACCGAAACCTCACAAATATCCTACACCAGAGCAAATGTTGATATTCAGGCATCATATCGTTGTTGGTTGTATTTAATAATTTATTTTTCAAGACCGAAAGGAAAACCCAAGCGAATGAGAGGTTACTGATGAGTCGATGCCACCACCATTCACTGCTGATAACATATTTTTCCTTTGAATTACCGCTACCATCCTGTTCTGAATGAGACCTTTGTCCTCCTCGACGCCATTCGAGAGAACGCTCTTTGCTGCTCACAGCTCTGCTCCCGGCTCCTCTGACTGGAATGTTTCAAATGTATTTATTTCAAATAATACCGGATGACTCGGGAATCCCATTTGTCAACGGGTAGTGATACCGGAACTCGCGACTGCACCCCCAATGGGAGCATGACTCCCTCCTTTTATATGTCTATCCGATTCTAATGCTCAGAGCTCAGTCGTTGATCCCCGGTTCTCTATTTCGCGAGGGCCTCCACGAACTCTGGCCGAGAATTCTTCGTATTTCGATGGTGATGATGCGATGCAAATGAGAGACCTGAAAACCGGGCCTAGCCAAAGAAAGACGAGTCATCGAAAACGGTGCATCGCGACATTTTCACCTGTCAACCGCCCGGATATACTAGCTCTCTCAATCGTTTCGCGGAACTCAGATCACCTTCGAGTCTCGCTTCGGGTCGAGAGGAACTAAAATCGCTATTTGTGATTCTGAGTGTTCGATCATTTCCATACATCCTCTTCAAGTCAGATAAGATCCTTGGGAACACGACTTCAAACCAAGAAATTGAGCTTCGACCATTGCGGAGAGATTCGATATCAGATTGAGTTTCCACCGTCAAATCCGTATCGGAATGAGATTCCCGATACGCCGAGCAGAGCTTGTTCCCTTGGGTGTCGTGTCGTTGTGTTCCGGTCCCTGCGCTGACCGAGTTGTGGAAGATTTACATACAGAAATTCATCTCCATATGAATATAAAATATCTAACAATGTAGGGAAACCGAAGGCAGAGAATAGAGACCTATGAACTTCTTCGAGAAGATACTATACACACTGTTGATGTTATTATATTGTAAAATATTAGACGACCCGAATCAAGCCAGGTATTCTGGTCGACAGCGACTCTTGATTAATATTTCCAAATGGATGGACCATATATGAACTATGTATTTTCGAGAGAGACCGAGAGCGAAAGAGAGAATAATTATTCTATCGTCATCGACGATCCAGGAGAAGCAGATGGACGACGAATCTACGACTGCGATGGAGGTATAGATACGATGGGATATTCATAATCTACTCCATGATAGTCGCTAGGAGGGTGTTATAAAATGAGAGAGCGAGAAAGAGCGAAAGTTAGAAAGGACGGAACGAGGGAGAAAAGCTGCAAAGCAATTTAGTAAGAAGAACTTCTTCTGAATAAAGCTTCTGTTGAGTTTATATAAAAGCCGATGCCTTCGTTTCCTCATTTGGGATTGGGGAGAATCCAAGACCTTTCCAGGCAGACATGAATACAGGGAAATGGAATCGTAATAATTCAAGGAGCATCAATAGGTGATGGGCATCGCATACTCTTCTCGACCGTCCTTGTCGGACCCGCTTGTTTTTTGAAGCACATAGGAGGTCAGCGAGTGAAATCATGTCACAAAATTCCGCAGCTGCGCTACGAATCTCCCATGTGCGGCTCTCATCAATAGCGAGAAGTCCGGCGTTCTGATCTCGAAACTCCGCTCTACGGAGCGACTGGAGGAATTTACGGGACCCTCCTCAAATAGAGAAACGCTTCGTTGTTGAGGCAAGTATATCCGACGATTGGTGCGGGCATGACAATGGAGGATTCACGTCTATCGAATTGTCCCGTGTACTATTGTCAATCCATCTATTTTTGTGATTTTTATTCATTCACCTGTCGAGAGTGAGACCTACGCAGGTGTAAAGGTGGGGTGAGTACAAGAGACGGTCGCGCGAAAAACCGTCTGATCCAGCAGTTTTATACTCGTTCTCTGCTTCGTTTGCCCATGAAAGTGCTCGTTCGTGGCGGAACTACGAAGGGACTGTTGCTGATTGTGGTAGTGGTTCGCTTGGTCGGTTGGTCTGTCCGTCTGTCTGTATGTCCGCCCATCCGTTCGTTCGTCCGTCCGATGACGGTTGGTGTCTAGAACGGGCAAACGAATGAAGAAACGACCGAAGGAGCGACGCAACGTTTTCGCCGACAGACTTTCCATTCGCCTGCCCGGCTGTTCAGACGCCCGACGGTTCGTTCGCTCGCTCGCTCGCTCGCCGTCCGCTTGCTTGCCTGCCCGCCCGCCCGTTCGCCCGCTTGCCGGTCTGGCGACCTGCCTGGCTTGCTTCTTGATCTAGCGGAAGCGCTTCGGCCAAACGTCCACAGCTGCCTATGGAGCTGCCGCTGGTGCCGAAGTTGAAGTACTACGACGAACAACAACCACCACCACCACCGCCGCCACGGTGACTAGCAGCCTTAGCGAAAGTAGCTGCTGGAGCGACGGCAACAACTCGCTCCTTCGCTCACACATCTTGACTATGACGGCGATGATTTATGCCGCGCGCACGGACCGACCGACGAACGAGCAGCCAACGAAGCTGCCGGCTCGTAGATTAGATCGCACCACAACTACTGCCGCCGCCGCCGCCACCACCAACATCAACAACAACGGCATCAACAGGAAGGATGTTATTGTTGACGTAGTTAACCACGATTCCAGGGGCCGCCAGGCCAACAAAGGGGGTAAGGGGCAGCGCGGGACCGGCCGTCAAATCGAAAGAAAAGCGTTAAAACCATTACTTCAACAAGCCGCGTTAACCCACGGACGATCAGCGATCCAGACGGTGCCCGCTTACGTAATA